GGGTCTGTGTTGACCCAGTACTTTACCTGAGCAAACAATGCCTGCCTTGTGGTAAAAGTCTAGTCCCCAGGCATGCGAAACAGAGAAGCATCTCCTGTAACAGAGAAGCGTCTCCTGTAAAGTCAGACGCTTGTTCATCGGGGAAATATTACGGAAGCACACATTACATTCTTCCTGACCAGGAGGGGCAGGACCCTGATAACACTTCCCGTGTCGCTGCCTGGATTAAGAGCTGGCCACACTTTGAGCTGGAGTGAAAGCACATGGAGGGACGTCTGCTTAGTACTGCACGGAAAACTGGGAGTGAATTAATTTCAAAGCGCAATTAGTGACCATTGTGCCAAGGGTGAATAAACCGGGTCTAGAGGGTGCAAGATAGGGTTAGCTTTCCTTTTCTAATTTTACAGAGCCAAAGGGATGCTTTCAACATGGGTAGTGCATTGGGCTCACAGAACAAACTGCTTCTGACGTAAAAAAGGGTGTGAACACAGTAGCACCTCTGTGTGCAGAAGGCTTTGGTTCATAGTTTACAATGAGTTTAATCCTATGAAGATGATTTATCACACATTATGCAGTTAAAACCCTGACAAAGGCTGAATGAGGAGTAAATGCTAATACTAATAATACTGAGCCTTGTCATATTATAACTAAGCAGCCTTGGCACAGATCTATGAATGTGTCACAACAGCAGGCACAAAATGGGGGCAATCCCAAACACAGCAGCATCACACATGGCCTGACGTGGATGCTCAGGCACACAGCTTGAAAGTGGAGATTTAAATATTCACACAAACACTGTGTTAAGCATTCGGTGCATTACCATAGCCCTATACTCACCATCCTGGGCAGAGTGGTGGCTATGTGGCTAAGGATCTGTGTTTGTGACTGAAAGGTTGTTCAAATCCCGCAGCTGGCAGAGGAATCCTATGCTGTTGGGCCCCTGAGCAAGGCTCTTAACCCCAACTGCTCCAGGGGGGCTGTACAATGGCTGACCCTGTGCTCTGACCCCAGGTTCTCTCTCTACCTGTGTGTCTCATGGAGAGTAAGCTGGGGTATGCAAAAAGACAAATTCCTAATGCAAGAAATTGTATAGGGTTAATAAAGTGATGTTTAACTTAATCAAACACCTTCGGAGTCTTGTGCATACCTCCTTTGGAGGTGGTCTCAGCTTAAGAAGACCAAAATGTTCTTATAGCTAAAAAGCTTATTTTAAGATGAAAATTACAACTTAAAATTTGATTTTCCATTTGACCAATTTCAGCAAAGTTCACTTGGAGCTGATAACTATGTTTACACGACTTTCTAATGTGGGTGTAATC